AGCTCCCTCCCCAATTCTACCTTATAACACTAAGATGGGCGCCTGTGGACCAATAAGTAAGCCCTCATCAGACACCTAATATGCCAGCAGCTCAATCTTGAACTTCCTAGCTTTGAGAACTGTGAGAAATAAATGTTTTTTGTTTAAGCCACCCAGTCTGAACAGACTCGGACAGAGGGGTTGCAGATGACGCTAGAGAAAAGATAGGTTGGTGCTGGTTCATGGAGAGTCCTGAATTCCAAACTAAGGAATTTAAATTTTATCCTATACACACCAGAAGAACTTTAGAATTCTGAACTGAAGACTGGCATGTTATAAAAAGCATTCTGATGGCAACCTTTTGAGGGGACTAAAAGAGAGTTAGATCTAATTCTAACAGAGTTGGTGAAAGTCTGAACTACAGCAGCTCCAGCATTGGTAAAAGGGATAATGTAACATCTCAGAGCATTAGTACATCTGGCTCACACTCCAAGATTTCACTCTTTTCCAGACTGGTTTCTTCCCACCTTCTCCTTTCCCTTTTGCCTCCTAACTTGGGAGAAGGGTTGGTGTAGTCTTGATCTGGACAGTGTCCGTGCCAGGTCCTTAAACTTGGGGTCGATGGGTCTCAGTCTATCTGCAGCCGAGGACTTCTCTGGTGGCCCAGTGGTTAAGACTCCATGCTCCCACTGCAAGGGGACAGGGGTTCTATCTCTGGTCAGGGAACTAAGATACCACATGCTGCAGGGTGTGTCCAAAATAAATAAATAAATACAATGCAGCTGAAAGGGGAAAGAAAACTTCAGCGGTTTTCTAACCAACAACATGTGATAATTTTCCAGGTTTTTTTTTTTACCACCTAGAGAACGCTCCTTCACCAGGCATTAGAGGTTCAGTACAACAAAACCCCAGCCTACTCTCGAGTCTCATTTTCCACTCTTCTATTCTCTAGTCCCACTGAGCTGGTTATCCTTCCTAACATCTACTCTGTTTTGTTTTTTTCCCTAACTCTAAGCCATTATTTAAGCTGCTGTATATTTTAAGCACAGTCAGATCTTACCCTCCATAAAACCCATCCCTTCCCTCCACACATTCCTCTGGTGCTCTGTTTTGGAAAGTGTTGAAAAAGCATAAATTCTAGAACATGAAGGCATGGGTTTGAATTCTGACTCTGCCACTTACTTAGTTTATGTTTACTTACTTTACTTTTTATACTCTTCTAACTAAGCCTGTTTCCTAATTTAAAATGAGGAGACTGCCTTTCTCAAGAGATCTTATGGAGTATTAAAGGATAAATGAAAGTTAAAGAACTTAAAAACTATAAAGTACTATGTAAATCACACCATAGCATCTTTATATGTTTCTTCCAGATATTAGGATATCACAACATTTTTTTTTCTTTTTTGCACTGGGTCTTTGCTCTGGTGCTTGGGCTTTCTCCAGTCGAGGCGCATGGGATCTAGAGCATGTGGGCTCACTAGTTGCAGTTCATGGGCCTACTTGCCCCATGGCAGGTGGGATATTAGTTCCCCAACCAGGGTTTGAACCCAAGTCCCCTGCATTGCAAGGCAGATTCTTAACCACTGGACCACCATGGAAGTCCCTTGTCTTGTATTATTTTTATTTGTATATGTTTTATCTTGCCAAGTAAACAATGAGCCCCTCAAGAAGGATCATGTCTTAATCATTCAGTATCTTCCAAAGTACATAGCATAAAAACAAACAAACAAACAAAGTACATAGCATAAACCCTGGTAGGTGGAAGTTGCTGATAAACATTTACTGAATGAGTGAATGCATTGATAAATAAATGAGTAAATACAGTAAGGGATAAAGGAACATTTAGGGTTTTGTTTTGGTTTTCCAACATCTGAAAGCCTGTTTGTTTTGGTTTTCCAACATCTGAAAGCCTGTCCTCTGTGAAGATCTTAATGTTCCTGCCTCCTCTGTGAAGATCTTAAGGTCCCACCTCCCACAAGAGAAACCAAAGATACTTAAAGTTTCCCTCCCATCACCCCCTTGTAACTATGGCAAAGGCGACATGATCCAGGCATGGCCATTTGAATGCTTCCACCAGGGCTTTGAATCTTGATCAAGTAGTGTAAGACACAGGGTAGAATTTCTCTAAGATGGCATCATGCAGTGGTGATGAAAGCAGTGACTCCAGCTGCGGTATCCTTAACTAGATCATCACAAAAATGAGGAAGAGTCTATCATCATGGTCTAGTCAGAAGACTGAGAAATTTTCTCAGTTTGGAAACAGACACAGAGAGAGTCAGTTACAGATTGGAACTTTGGGAAGCAGATGCCAAGACAGGATTTGACGTGCAAGACATTAACTAGGGTCAGGAAATAGGATTGAAAAGAGAAGAAATCAAACTATAATGTAGGTCTGACAAAGACCCAGCCAACCTGGTGGGGAGTTCTGGAGTGAATACAGCTCATCAGAAATACAGAGGTGTTTCACTGTATTTCAGTGACTTCCCTGGTGGTCCACTGGTTAAGAACCTGCCTGCCAAGCAGGAAACGGGTTTGATCTCTGGTCGGAGAAGATTCTGCATGCCCTGGAGCAAGTAAGCCCGTGTGTCACAACCACTGAGCCGGCACTCTGGAGCCTATGAATCCTATGAATCGCAACTACTGAGCCTGAGTGCTGCAACTACTGAAGCCCATGTGCCTAGAGCCTGTGCTCCACAAGAGAAGCCATCTCAATGAGAAACCTATATACTGCAATGAAGGGTAGCCCCCACCTGCCACAACTAGAGAGAACCAGAGCAGAGCAACAAAGACCCAGCACAGTCATAAACAAATAAATAAAATTTAAAAAGAAATACAGTGGGTCAGAATGGCTGAACCTTTATACTTTATACCCTGGCTTTGCTCAGTTCCAGGATGAGCATGACCTTGTGCAGGACTGTGCTCTGCAGTGAGACAGACGCTAAAGGAACGGAAGCCTTTAGAGGGTATCTGCTGATTATACTCTCTATAGCTAACAGTACATCTTTCCTTGAAGGCAGAACTGGGTGGCACACCTGTTGTGCCTACTAGAGAAAAAAATGAATTATGACATCGTGAACAAAGCAATAGAGTGGAAAGGAGGGAGAGGATTCTACAGATACTGTATTTTGTAGGTGGGGATGAAGAGGGGGTAAACAAAGATTAACACTGAGGTCTCTACATTGATATGATTTGATGGTAATGCTGTTTAACCTGGAGTAAACAACAGATGAGAGAGAACAGGTTTGGAGAGAAAGATAAGGAATTTCATTTTAAACATGACTCTGAAATGTCTGCAAAATATTAAGGTAGAGATGATTTCAAAAATCAAGGCAAATGGGGCCAGATGAGGAGCTCAGCAGCAAGTGCCAAATTTATAAAGTATACATATATTGTCTTATATGGTGGTGTGGTGGTGGTTTAGTTACTAAGTTGTGTCTGAGTCTTGTGACCCCCATTGACTGTAATCCGCCAGGCTCCTCTGTCTATAGGGTTTCCCAAGCAAGAAAACTGGAGTGGGTTGTCATTTCCTCCTTCAGGGGATCTTCCTGACCCAGGGATGGAAGCCACTTCTGCACTGCAGGCAGTTTCTTTACTGTTGCACCAACAGAAAGCCCATTTATCTTATATATATATATATATACACACACACACACACACAAATATATACACACACACATATAATTTAATACTCATAATGCCTCTATGAGGTAGGTATTGTTTTTATTATACCCTTTTTGTATATTTTATTATACCTTTTGTTTATGAAGTGAGGAAGTTAAGTGCCTGGCTCAAGGAGGCAAAACTTGAGTCTGCCTTATGACAAAGCACATGCTGTCAAAGACACTATGGTGTCTCCCCACGAAAACCACCATATGTAGACAGTATTTGAAGTCATGGAAGTTTTTTTTTTCTTTTTTTTTTTGAAGTCATGGAAGTTAATAGGTCACCGGAAATGGTACAGTTTGAGGGACAAAAGGAGCCAAAAAAGGAATTTGAAGGAAGTCAACATTTCAAAGGTGAATTGAGGAAGCTGACACATGCAAAAGGACTGACCGAGTGGCCAGAGCAGTTTTTAAAAGTGAGAAGTATGCTATCTCAGAAGTTAGGGTAAAAAGAAATTCCTAGTCCACAAAGTGCATTGTTGCAAATATCACGGAAGATGAAGGTTTCACATGTAGAGGTCATTGATGATTTAAGAGTAGTTTATAGACAAGTCAGATTGCAGTGGGTTGGATAGTGAGTAGGAGATGAGGAAGCAGAAGCAAGGGTATAGGTTAAGGACTTCCCTGGTTAGGGAACTAGATCCCACGTGCTGCAACTGAAGATCCCACATACTGTAACTAAGACCTGGCACAGCCAAATAAATATTTTTTAAAAAAGAAATTCTCTCTTTCTTAACAAAAAAGCGGGGGGGGGGGGGGGAGGCGGAGTATAAGCTACTTTCCCCAAAGTTTTGCAAAGTAGAGGAAATAATAAGCTGTATACATAAGTAAGGAATTTTATTAGTTATTATTATCGACTACTTAATAACTCCTTGCTCCCATATTACTTGAATGTCACACTTCCATCATTTCTCTGGTTACCACTACCTCTATTGCACCAGTGTCTCTCCCCAAATCTAACATTACCTGAAAGCACAGAATATTGGTTATTTGAGTTGTGGATGACTTGTTTTACTTGGATGAGTGTTCTGAATGCCTCAGATTCTGTCTTTGAAAAATGGGCCATAGACCACCTCCGTTGCCCCAACTCCATCATCTGTTTTCCACAAATACAAATAAGCATTCACTTCCCGGACCAATTCAGCAAAATACGGGAGTTCTTTGGTTCTTGGCAAGCATAGTACCCTGTCTACCTAGGCTCCTCCCCTTCCTTCCCCCAAACTCTTCGTGGGCAGATCTCAGAGAAGAATGAGCTGCCACTCTAAATCTTCTGGAATATAATGTCCCAGATGGAGAGTCTGCACAGTTCTGCAGTGAGGTGAATCAGTCTAGCCTTTTTCCAGCGAGGGCTGGAGATAATCAACACCGCCGCCGTCCACCTGTGCACAGGAAGATGCCTACAGCCACTCCAGTGACGATGAAACAGCCCACCAAGACGCCCAGGACCAGTGAAGTGTAGGAACGGCCTGTTTGGCTTCCTGCTGAACGTGGGAAGAGTTAGCTTGAAGAACATACCCCCAAACAAATAAGTCCCTGGTTTGAGTCAAACCCCAAAGGATTTCTTCCCCAAAGGAAGTAGGGGAGGGGCTAGTTTACCAATTCACATAAGATGTGTGTACTCAGTCCCAAATCGCCAGCCCTGGGCCTCCTGTTGCTCAAGATATCCATCTTTCAGTTCCACCCATTTGCCTGGAACCCACCCAACACATAGGTCCCTCCCTGAGCCCATCATACCTTTCAAGTTGTTCACGGTCATGTGTTTCTGTATGTATTGCACACAGGTGTCCTGTAGAAATTCCCGCAGTTCGTACCGAGTACGATTGTACTTGTTGAGCTGCTCAACCGTGTAAGTGACCACTCTGGACGGTGCATGAGGTTGCGCCACCCATGAGGCTGTCTTTGGCTGGAAATTTACAAAGGAGCTTCCATTCACAGCCACTTCGAAGAAGACACGGGCTTCCGAGCCCTCAGGCGGCAACTCGCAGCCCAGGAAGCAGCGAATGATCAGAGGAACTGTAGGTAGGGGATTCAGGATCAGGGGACAGTGTGGAAAAGGTGTCAGGTGTGAGGGGGAAACGGGAGTTCAGGATGCAAGGTGGACCAGGGACAGGGACTCCCAACAGGGACTACCCCGAAGTCTTGCCAAGCAGGAAAAGGGCCTGACGGACAGTACGGTACGTCAGCTAGGATGCCGACTTTTCTCCAGCCTCAAGCACCCACCCAGCCATCAGCAAAGGCAACGCCGGGCGGGCACACCCATCCCAGAACTCGGCCCCGCCTCGTTCTTCCATAAGCCCGCCCCCTCGTTACGGCCCGCCCACTGGCCACGCCTCCCACCTCAAGGGCCCGCCCCCGCGTGTGTCACTCACAGGTCACGCCCCGCTCCTGGTGCACCACCTGCACCAGGCCCACGAACTCTTCCAGGTAGCGCTTCAGGTATCTCTTCGTGAGGGCCCAGCTGTCGGGCTCCTGCAAGGGCTGCAGCTGTTGGATCGAGACGTTGTGGCCTGGGCCTTCCAGCACGTGCGTCAGGACCCCGCCCAGCGTCGCGTTGCCTCGGTGCCACACTTGAGAGGGGTTGCGGAAGTAGGAGACCTGGATCATGTGGAGGTCCGACGGGCCTGGGGGCGGGAGCAAGAGCGTCGGGTCCCGGCCGGCGTGGGAGGGTCAGCGTGCAACTCGAGATAATAACCCCCACCCAGAGGTCAGCCGCCCACCTCCTTGGTCCTTTATAAACATAAATTGTCCTCCCACCCTTCCACCCATTTGACGCTGTCAGTAGCCCTGTCAGGAGGGCAGGACGGGGGTTATTATCTCTGTTTTACAGATGAGGAAACTGAGGCTAGACGTGCAGAAGCCACTTGCTCCAGGATAATCCAGACGAGTGGAAGAGCCACTCTGACCTCCTTTCAAGCTCTCACCCCTTCCTCCCCTCCACCGCCCCCGCCCCGCCCCGTCATTTCCAGTTGGTTATTAAATCCTGGTGGCTCAGACACCTGCAATGAGGGAGACCTGGCTTCAATCCCTGGGTACGGAAGATCCCCTGGAGAAGGAAATGGCAACTCACTCCAGTGTTCTTGCCTGGGAATTCCCATGGACAGAGGAGCCTGGTGGGCTACAGTCCATGGGGTCGCAAAGAATCGGACACGACTGGGGAGCTAACACATTTTCACATGAAGACCCAATTTCATCTTCTGTTCTCTGCCTCTTCTGCTGCTGTCCTACTTCAGGCCTTAGTCGTCCTCATCTGGACTGGAGTAGTGATTCCCTGGTCCCCTCCACTCATCTTTTAGTCTCACCCCTTTTTATCTGACCTCCACCTGGCCCAGAAATAAGATTACACCCTTCTGCTTAAAATCTTCCAGGGACACACTCCTCTATCAACAGCAACAACAATAATAGCTATTAAGTGCTTATTATGACCTGGGCACTATACTTTACATGCACTATTATCTTATTTGTGCCTTCCTCCCATTAAATTGATGTAGTAGCTACTATTATTAACCCCATCCATATGGAAAAACAGACAAGTGGCATAGGAGAGTTAAGGCTAGCATGCAGGCTGTCTGAATCCAGCACTCTTAGCCACTCAACTACACTGTCTTCCCATAAGCTATCTGTCTGTAGAATCAATCCAACGTCTTTAGCCTGACATTCAAAGCTTCCCGAAGGCTGGTTCCCTCCCCCCGCGCCCCCCACCCAGCTCTTTTGATCTCTTCCCTATGCTTAGATACTACATCAGTACTTGGAGTCCATCATGCTGCCTTTCGGCTGACATGTGAATAGCATGGCAGGGTTGCTTTGCCTCTTGGCGAACTTCTATTTATGCTTTAAGGCCCAGCTCTATTGCCCTCTTCTTGGAGAAGTTTTCCTAATGCTTCTCCTCTTTACCCTCTCATACACAATGGGTCAATTCCAGCGATCCCAGATTCTGCTTAACTGTCTTCAAACACACAGACTTCCAACCCTCTTGGCGCTGGAATCATGTCTGGTTATCTCTACCTCCTACACCTGCCAAGGGCCTGGCATGGAATTGGTGCCCAGAGAATGTTTGAGGAGGGAATGAGTCCAGGGTTGTAAATCTGTGTGTGGGGGTGTGTCTCTGTCCATGTCTGCATCTGAGAAGTTGTGCTCTGTATCTGTAGATGTGAATAAGTATATCTGTGTCGGTCACCCCCAGACAAGGTTCTTACCTGCTTGGTGACCAGTCTCCTTTGTAAAATGGAGATAATAGTATTACCCACCTTGTAAAGATTTTGTTGAGGTTAAATAAGTCAATACACATATTAAGTGTAGTGAGCATTCATTGAATACTGGTTATTTGCTGCTGTCTCTCTGGGGCAGGGAGAGGGGGAGACTGAAGCTACCGGGACTGCAGGAGAGGAGAGAGGAGGCCCTTGTGCAATTATAATGCAGGGCAGAAACTCCCCTTCTCTGCTTAAATGGAGCCACTGCGACAGCCTGATCCCCATTGAGTTTTCCCACTGACTACAGCTTGTCTCTCCCCTGAGTTTCCCCTCACCATCGTCTCTAGTCTCCTCTTTTTGCCTCACAGTTCTCAGATCTAGTCTCTCCCCAAAACTCCCATCACTTCTCCCAGTGTCTCTCATTCCTTCCATCTCCCGTCTCATCTCTTTTCCCGTCTTCCCTAAACTCACCTCCATCCACCATCACCCTCAGACCTCTCCTTCTCCAGACTTCACACACCCATCTCTCCCCTCTCCCTGTGGCTAATTCTCTCACCCTTTCTACCAGCCCCTTTCCCATTTGTCCAGTCTTGTTTCCCCCTACCCGCCGCCCCCATCTCCCCCTTCCCAGGAGCTGAACTCTAACTTCCTCACCTTGGCTTTGGGACACAAACCAGTCCCCAGGATCGCCTGCCCTCTGGAGAGATCCAGCTGGCCGCAGGCCCAGAACCTGGGGGATAAACTTTCCTCTGGTCTTGCCCGGGTACCCAGACAGGCTGAGAGCCGCTGGAACCATCCCAGGACAGGACATGTGCCCTCGACTCACCATCGGAGGCTTCCTGGCTGCAGAGGGTCCATCCGGGCAGGAGCAGTAGTGGCAGCAGGGGCAGCAGGGCTGTCAACATTCTGTAGCTGAGGTTCTCAACCCCACCTGGGCTCGTGGCTCTGGCAGACTGGGGGCTCCAGCTGGCTGCTGCCTAGGGGCAAAAGAAATGAGGACTGTCTGGGAGGGGAGGAGGCTGTACGGAGGTGGCTGGAAGGTGGCCAGGGCTTGGGAGGAGAAAGAGGGCGGCAGGCTTATAAAGTGTTATTCTTACCCTGTCTCATTTCCTACTAGGGGGCCGGCCTCCCTCTTCCCCTCCCTCCGCCCCGCCCGGCATCACACCCTCCTGCCCAGACCTGCCTTTTCCCTTTTCCCTGGGCTGCTTCCGAGGAACAGTCAGCGGAAAGGGGGGAGAAGGGCCAGAGAGAAGTCCTGCCCCCGCTGAGTCAGGGGGTGGGGCATCCACTTAGAGCAGATTTTATGATGTTGAGATCAGCATGTTTCTGGTGGGGAAACTGAGGCCCAGAGAGATGTAAGGAATTACCCAAAGTGTATACATCATGGTGATGACAGAGCCAGGATTAGAATTCAGTTTTCCGATATATTGACTGCATTTTATTGGAATTTTAAATAAATAGTAATTATACAGTCAGGGATCTTGTTCTCAGAAATAGCCACAAAATGAAGATAAAGCTGCTTCATACAGCATTGTTTGAAACAGGGGAGAATTATAAATAATCTACTTCTCAGTAGAGAACTGGTTCCTTGCAGTAATATTTTTCAAAATGAAGTCAAAAACTATTAGCGACTATTAGCAACGGGCTGCTGCTGCTCCTGCTGCCGCTAAGTCGCTTCAGTCGTGTCTGACTCTTCACGACCCCATAGATGGCAGCCCACCAGGCTCCCCCGGCCCTGGGATTTTCCAGGCAAGAACACTGGAGTGGGTTGCCATTTCCTTCTCCAATGCATGAAAGTGAAAAGTGAAAGTGAAGTCACTCAGTTGTGTCCGACTCTTCGAGACCCCATGGACCGCAGCCTACCAGGCTCCTCCGTCCATGGGATTTTCCAGGCAAGAGTACTGGAGTGGGGTGCCCTTGCCTTCTCTGATTAGTGGGCAATGAAGACAATTAGGCAGGTTATAATTAGCAGGGTTTTTCCTTTGAATGTAATGGAACAGTATAAAAATTTTCAGTGCATCACCCTTAATCAGGATAAATATTATTTCATGAAATATTTGTTCAACTGTACATGTGTGTGTGTATTGATTTTGTGCATGTAGGTTTCTATGATGGATATTAAGTAGCAGTGTAAAGTGTATTTCTTACTCTAGGAAGCAAATACAGTAAGTCCCCTATACACAAATGTGTTCTGTTTCGAGAGCGCGTTCATGTAAGTCCAACAAAGTTAGCCTGGGTACCCACTAACACAATTGGCTATATAGTACTGTACTGTAATAAGTTTATAATACTTTTCAGACAAATAAAATAAACAAACAAAAAAACCATTTTTAATCTTCCAGTACAGTTCCTTGAAAAGTACAGTAGTATAATACAACAGTTGGCATACAGGGACTGGCATGCATGTTCGAATCTTTGAACATTTGCAACTTGAAGGTTCATATGTAGGGAACTTACTACCAATGCCCACTCTATTTTCATCATATTACTTAGCACTACCTGAAATTATATTACCTACTCATTTACATGTTTATTGTCTGAATGTCCCATCAAAATGTAAACTCCATGAGGATAGAGGCTGTCCATCTTATTTGCTTCTATACCTAGAACAGTGCAAATAATAGCATAATAAATAATAAATATCAGCTAGTGGATGACAGAATGAGATAGTTATAATATGTCGAAATCATCAAGAGTAAGTTATGGAACATTATGTACAGTTTAGAACCACTTACATGTCAACCACATTCATAGCAACTAAACAACCTATTTCTTTGTGGGAGTGAATGAATCTGAAAGGATATACATCAAATACAGCAGTGGTTTATCTCCAGGGAGGGGCCTGAGATTAAGAGAGAGTGTGTGTGTGGTGTGTGTGTTAGGGATGGCAATTTTGTGAAAGGTTTTCTCTATTTTGTGAAGGATTTTATCATTCTATCTGTATTGTTTGAAAATTTTGCATCTTGAATGTGATCATGTATCTCTTGTTGAATTAAAAATAGAAGTTTCAGGAACAAACTGTGGTAGAAGAAGGTGGCAAATGATTATGAGCTGATGTGTTGACATGAGATGCTGAGAAATGAAAAAGCAAAGTGTGGAGCAATACATACAATATTGCTGTTCTGTACTCAGTCGCTCAGTCATGTCTGACTCTGCGACCCCATGGACTGTAGCCCACCAGGCTCCTGGGTCCATGGGATTCTCCAGGCAAGAATACTGGAGTGGGTTGCCATGCCCTCCTCCAGGGGATCTTCCCAACCCAAGGATGGAACCCACGTCTCCCACATATAGTATTGGGTTGGCCAAAAAGTTCATTCAAATTTTTCTGTAAGATATTACAGAAAAACCCAAACAAACTTTTTGGCCAACCCAATAAAATTCTGTTTATTTTTAGTTTAAAAATTTTACTTCTGTTCATGTAATCCATATATAATTCCATTATTATATTAAAAGAAACTTTATGTGTGTACCTATGTATTAGTATATGCATAGAAAAAAAATGCCTGCAAGGGGATTATCAGTAGAGAGTACCTCTGGGAAATGAGATTAGATAGAGGGCTGATGAGGGGATTTTAACTTTTTATTTTACATACTGTTTCTCAGAGGGAGAGTTGATGTCATAGAATTGGGGGCAAACCTTGGGTACATATCAGGCTCCCAGTCTCTGAGCTGAAAATATGCAGGAGTCCATACTCACCTCTCAGTTGTTATAAAACAACATAGAAATAACAAAGTTTTTTCCAGCTCATCAAAACAATCTAGTCTGAAGGAGAAGATGGGCCTTGTTTTCCTGAACTGGGGCTCAGGAAAAGCAGAATTTAAGTCGCTGCCAATTATATTGTCTCATCTTTTATACAAAATTCGGATCAGTTCAGTTCAGTTGCTCAGTCGTGTCCAACTCTTTGTGACCCCATGGACTGCAGCACACCAGACTTCCCTGTCCATCACCAACTCCCGGAGCTTACTCAAACTCATGTCCATTGAGTCGGTGATGCCATCCAACCATCTCATCCTCTGTTGTCCCCTTCTCCTCCCACCTTCAATCCTTCCCAGCATCAGGGTCTTTTCTAGTGAGTCAGTTCTTCACATCAGGTGGCCAAAGTATTGGAGTTACAGCTTCAGTATCAGTCCTTCCAATGACTATTCAGGACTGATTTCCTTTAGGATTGACTGGTTTGATTTCCTTGCTGTCCACAGGACTCTCAAGAGTCTTCTCCAACGCCACAGTTCAAAAGCATCAATTCTTCAGTGCTCAGCTTTCTTTATAGTCCAACTCTCACATCCATACATGACTATTGGAAAAACCAAAGCTTTGACTAGATGGACCTTTGCTGACAAAGTAATGTCTCTGCTTTTTAATATGCTGTCTAGGTTGGCCATAACTTTCCTTCCAAGGAGCAAGGGTCTTTCAATTTCATGGCTGCAGTCACCATCTGCAGTGATTTTGGAGCTCCCAAAAATAAAGTCTGTCACTGTTTCCACTGTTGCCCCATCTATTTGCCATGAAGTGATGGGACCAGATGCCATGATCTTAGTTTTCTGCATGTTGAGTTTTAAGACAACTTTTTCACTCTCCTCTTTCACTTTCATCAAGAGACTCTTTAGTTCTTTGCTTTCTGCCATAACGTTGGTGTCATCTGCATATCTGAAGTTATCGATATTTCTCCCGGCAATCTTGATTTCAGCTTGTGCTTCATCCAGCCCAGCGTTGCTCATGTTGTACTCTGCCTATGTCCTCTGCATATAAATTTATACAAAATTAGTATGAAATAATTCATACTTGAAGAATTCTCTCTTGAAGAATTTTTATCACATACACACACAAGCCCCCAGCACTCAGCGTAAGAAGTAAAATATTACCAGTATAATTGAAGCTCCTTATATACTCCTCCCTAACTGCATCTCTCTCCCCCATGACCCACCACCAAAGTAACCACTAATCAGAATTTGTTATTTTTTACAGTCTTACACTTCTGTATTCCTGTATGGCATATGCATTTACTCTTAAGTAATATATGGTGGTATTCTGCAGAAGTTGGGCTTTATTGGTATTGAAGTGCTTATATTCCTCTGCAATTTGCTCTTTTTCACCTGACATATTAATAAGGTTCATTCACACTGCCATGTGTTGGTCTATTCATTTCCACTGCTTTATGACATACCATGTTTATGAACATATCACAATTTATCCATTTTCCTGTTATTACACATTTCAGTCTTTTTTTCTAACTTTTGCTATTTTAAACAGCATGAATGTTCTTTTTTTTTTTTTTTAAGCATGAATGTTCTTATAAACATTTTCTTGTGCATGTGTGGGAGAGCTTTTGTAGATACAAACTTGGGAGTGGAATTGCTGAGTCACAGGGTATATGCACATCTTCAATTTAACTAGATATTGCCAAACTGCTTTACAAAAAGTTTTGACCAGGTTATACCCTAGTAGTGCATGAGAGTTCCCTCATCCATCTCCTGGCCAGCTATAGACATCGTCAGATGTTGGGTGTCAAATGGCACTTGGTTCCGGTTTTCCTTTGCCTTATCTGGTTCCAAGTGAGTTTGTGCATTTTTGCTTTGCCTTTTGTCTCTCTTGGGGACTTGAAGGGTACTTTGGGATGAAGCGTAATAAAGTATATGATGGAACCAATTTGGAATTGAAGGCTGTGAGTCTTTGATCTAAGTAGATAGGGCCTGGGTTACTGGGATTATTAAAGTGGATCTATACCAGGACTCCCCTGGTGGTCCAGTGGTTAAGACTCCATGCTTACAAGGCAGGGGATGCGGGTTTGATTCCTGGTCAGGGAACTAACATCCCACATGCCACGTGGCCAAAACCATAAATTAAAAAATAAATAAAAATTTTAAAAAGTGGATCCACTCCAATACACACAGAGCTAGTTACAGAGAG